AAGACAATTGTATTATTGTTTCACCGAGAATCAAACTTACACCTCGGGTAGTACATGTTATGTAACAATTAAACCAAAGAGACAGCCTAATGCCAATTAGCGAACAGCAATAATCACACTTTAAAAATTCCGTGTCTTGAATGCTGGATCTGTTTAACTGCTATATGCTTATGATAAATAAAAATGTAAATGATAAATCGAAAACGACATTTCTTCACTCCCACTGGACTTTCTGGAATAACTGAAAAACGAACTACTTTCAAACTTGACAGAACACTTAAACCTTCTCAATGACGTATCACCATAAATTGATGGGCCGAGAAAAATTCTATTTCCTTAAAACCCTTGAGAATTGGGTCAAATCTATAACGGTCCCTTAAATCCATGAAACTTCGAAATTCGAACGATCCATCGGCCAATCGGAAGCTTATCGCTATCCAATGACATCGCCGATTGCACAGGAACCGTAAATTTGATAATGGAACTTTGTTAATTGTACGAAAGTGTTCCAAAATCGAATTCACTTTGAAAGGGTAGCCGCATTGCGATTTTCGCGAGCGATTGCCGACCGCAAAACCTAACAAACGCCACAATAGCCGCAAAATGACTTTTCAATAGTCTAATAAAGATTTTAAAATCAATCACATTTGCGGTTAAAATCTCGGTCAAACAAGCATTCTTTCCGGAAATATAATTACAAATATCCCAATATAGCTTTATTATACCCGTAATGAACAGTCAATGACACGAAATACGTGTAGGAGCCAATTACGCGCCAATTAAGCCGATATCAGCCCTCGATTTTATTGGCGTATTAGGCTATGTTCACATGTAACGCGCGATCAAATTTGAAGAGCGTTCAGATGATGAGCGCTAACGCGCGTTGCGAGAGTACTCGTCAGTCTAGTTCGGTAGAACGTAGAAAATGGACGTGGAAGAGGCTATTATTTTGTGGTTATATTATAAAGAAAAATATAGAAAAAGAAAACGTACACATTGGGTTCATCCAATTTTGAAAAAAAATACAAATTATATTATATTTTTTATACAAATTTGCTATATTCCAACTTGCTGGCCTTTTTTCTACTTCATCGATTAGTAAGTCGATGTCAATATCTTCAATTTCACTCATTTTAAATGCGAGAACAAAATATAATTACGAAAATTAACAAAATTACATGCGATCGCGATGAAAGCGCGCGCTCATCTGAACAGCAAACGGACATTACATTAATATCAAAGCGCGCGTCAACGCGCGATCACCTGCGTCTAGAGACTTTTTCTCTGAGCGCCGCGCTGACGCGCGTTAACGCGCGTTGACGCGCGCTCATGTGAACAGTTGTATGAAAATACCACAATGTCTAGTCGCGCGATTTGAAAACGCGCGTCAAGTTTTTGCCATCTGAACATAGCCTTAAACAAATATCATAAACGTGGATAGTTATTAGATGTATGAAAGAACTTAATATTGGCTATGCAAAACTATTTATATATCTACATTATTTACGTTGCATACATAAATATAATAGTTGTCATAATTAAATGAAAAGAAGGGCAACTGGCGGCCTTATCGCTTTCGAGCGAACTCTTCTAGGCAACCAATGTGAGAAAATTGGATAATGCAAGCACAAGAAGTGCAAAAATACATAAGACATATAGTTCTACTACTTGGCTGAAGACGTTGAGTTATGATGAAACAGAAGATCTAATAACTGTTATTCTGTAACACACCCACTCCCCCACACATATACACACACCCACGCACGCCACACACACTTAGAGAGAGAGACACACACACACACACACATACACACACACACACAAACACACACCAAATTTATTTTTAAGACTCCGTTTGCAATGTTTTCTTTTAGCACTTAATACTTATTTTCTTCTATTGTATCTTATGAGAATGACATGATTGTACGTGTTCCGGTCCGGTGTGGAGAGGCTGGCTATCTGTCACTCAGGTCTCCTGTTACAGAGACCAGTCTCTCACATACACTTCCTAATGTTATCATCTTAGTTTAATCATAAAAACCTTGTATGTATATGTGAGAGAAGAAAATAAAGATTATTATTATTATTATTATTATTAGTTATTTATACAAAACTATTGGAACAAAAACATATGTAAACGTCCGGTTAACATATGTTTTAATTTTAATATTAAAAAAAAATAATTTAATCCAGCAGCGCTACAACCTTAAATTTGCCTGGGCCTCAGATTGTATCCATTTCACTGATATTTTTTTTTTCATAGTCAACTAGATGATTTTGGCTTTATTACGGTTTCCTCACGATAGTTTCCTTGACCGTACGAGCGAGTTTTAGATTTTAGTTACATATACAAGTCCATTGGTAGGGACCTTCCTACGGCTTATGGATGAGAGTCGCACGCTGAAGCCACTAGGCCAACACTATTCTTAATTTTTAAATATGGAACATAAAACACGTGACACGATCTAACATTCGTCTGACCAATTACAATCAAACGAAATAAACTGTCAAGCATTTCGTCAAACGTGCTTATTTACTGGACATTAATACACGTCAAATGTTTAATAATATACAAAGCTTGAGAACTTAAAACTAATAATGACGTCATTAAAATTCAAAAGTTAATTAGCATAACTTCAAAATGCAATATCGAAGGATAAAACTAGATTGATGGCCCTCAAGGGGTCAGTGACCGCAGAATGACACTTGTGACGTCACAAGCCTCTCTAAGGACAATGCTGAGTCCGACCGATCTCTGGATACCCTGTCCCAGATATTATTTGTAATAATATTTTTCTTCTTTATAATAATAGTAGATATATTTATGGGAAATACGTTTATACAGTAAATACTATGACGAATTATAAAAAGTGCTATTTTTTCAATTCACCCACTCCAGGCCCTGCCATGGCGGCTACTCGCTGTTGGGACTGGTCGTGTTCCCTTATGATGGTAGAAAAGTATGTGAGCACTTGATAACATGACTTCATATTTCGATAAGACAGATCTGAGACGATTTACGTGCTCATCTGAGAATGGATGTTTCAACACCGCTGAATTCCTAATCCCGAAACTTTTGTTGGAAACTTTGAATTGACGTATTGTAATATCACTCCTCAAAAGCCGGCTCTTACGAAATGCCTAGCTTAGTATCAAATTTATAGTTTGTATTGTTTATTCTTAAACAACGGGCGGAGAAAGATTAAGTCTAGGTGATACGAAGTCACGTACATATTTGTGTCAAAACTTATTAAACAGATCAAAGAGATTGAACCTCATACTACAGCTAAAACAGTTGAAACAAACATTTCTGAAGGCATCATAGTGACAATTTTTTATTTTTAAAAACAAAATACATTAAATATTTTCCAGCTAGAAACAGTTTTATTGGGAAATTTCAATTGTTTATTTTATTTTCCTTTACGTTTATGTTTCCCACTTTTCCCCGAACTACCACAAATATTTCTAGTTTTTAATTAGCCAGATCCGTCCAGCCATTCTTGAGTTTTAGCGAGACAAAGGAACAGTAATTGATTTTTGCATAAATAAAGAATGTTACCATTGCCAATGTTACTCAATAATTTTGCGTTAAATTTTTTCAGTACATCCAGTTACACCCTTATAAAGTTTTCAGCAAAAATTGCCTTGTTTTGAAGTATTAAATTAGCTACTTAGCAAACATAGAACTACTTCTCAACGTGGATGAAAAAAGGGCCTTAGTAAAAACCCTATTTAAGAGTGCAATGACTTGTATTGTGTAGAAAAACCAGTGTTATCTTGGGCGACATTAAAAAAAACGCGTATATACACGATTTTTATTATTTCGAGTGCTTTTCAATCATGGCCTGTGAGACTACTACTTAAACTTGGTAGACTATTTGGTATTATGATTGGAGTCTATTGAAATGTCGAAATATGTTAAAAAATAAAAGATAATTTATGTAAAAAATAAATATGTTTAAAAAATACCTGTGGAATATGTGTGTGAATAATTTTTATTCAGTGCTTTAACTTCGAACCACCTAAGATTTATTTTCTTAGATATGCCGGTTATATGTTTTTCCATACAAACAAGCGTGGCTTGGGTATATAGAAATAAGGGTTTAAACTACGTCGAGGTACAGAATAAATTTAAAGAACTAGGATGACACTGCTTCCTTTCTTGACCTTAAGGTATGATAAACAATAGACTCTTAGCGAAAAACGTAATGGATTTTGACAAACGGGAGTCTATAAAGTCTCAAATTAACTGAAAATGTATTTATATTAGTAACTATATACTTATGTACATTAAAAAAAACAAACTTAACATTAACATTATTATAGTTGACCGAAGACAGATTACAATTACATTATTATAACACGTCCTCTTGATAAGACTTTTTATTATTTTTTATTTATTTTATTAGCTTCGCCTTTTCAATTTCAAAGTATCAAAAATTAAACGTTTCTGTTAACGAAAAAAGCCTCTACGAACATTTTCCGTCGCATTGCGTAACCCATTTTCTGTGTAACTACTTTACACTTTTAATCTGTCATCGCTGTATGTCGTTGATGAGCCCTTTGATCATGAAGTCAGCCTCAAGCAAGCTAAGAGTACGTATTGTCTTTTCATACCTTTATTACAGAGACATTCTTAAGTCGTTCTAAACACACCTTATACGAGAAAACATGTGATATTAAAATTATTTTTTCTATACACTGACAATATATTTAAATAATATATAAATATTTCGATTTTATTACTACATATATATTTTATTAATTTATAATAGCTATCACCCTAAAGCTTGTAGAACGGGATCATATTATATTCACTTGATTTGGAGATAATAATCTAGTTTTCTTTTTGTATTACTATGTCGAAAGCGTTAGTAATGTCAACATTGAAGAAAGAAACTGGTATCATTTGAAACGCTTAGCAACTGAAACTCTCAAATTAGTAGTATATTAAAATTATTGTCATTAAATATTTATATACGAATATAGTAACAACGTATTCAAAGTCCAGATGTCATTCGCAATAGACCGATAGACGATTTGAATTTACGCTTGACCATGATGGTTTCATCATGATTCCATCGAGCGTCGTTTGTTTCACGAACTTCACATGTTCTTTCCGATGTTGGAGTACGCTCATGTACCAACCTGACAATCTCTCGCTGAGCAGCGTGCAGCTTGCCGGCGAGCCTCGCGACGTCCGCTTCGGCAGCTCGGGCCCGCGCCTCCCAGTCGCCGCGCGCTCGACGCTCTCGTTCCGCATCGTTGCGCGCAGCTCCCTCGCGCTGTAACAATATAAAAATACTAGTTAAACACCTAATAATTTAAGCAACGCAGTCATATTTTCACACACATAAGCTTTTATAGGCGGTTTTAAAACACTTAGTTACAGTATCTAAAAAAACGTTCGGCGGATGTGGATAATGTAAGTTAATATAAAACTTGACTCCCTGTGATTAATTAACCTTTAATTGTATTTTTTTGTAACGTTTGTTTTGTTTAATAATTGGTTTGATATTTGTATGATCTCTACATGTATGTCATGTTTGCCTTTAAGTGCCTTGTCACATTAAAAATTGTATTTTGTGTTTGTTTTTACTAATGTGTCAGTGTGCCGAGCGTTGGCAAGCTTTTTATCAATTAAAAAAAAACCCTAAAGTCAAAGAGCAGGCTCTTATATGCTGAATAATATAGAATGAGCTAAATAGAGTTTATATACGAGTATAAAGGTGATGTTGATATCATAGAAAGCGGTAAAGATTACACTTATTTATTTAACAGTTTATTGATAATTCACAGCATGTTTTAAAGATAATATTTACAATTTTTAAATTAAAAATAAAGTCAAAAAAGGATTACACCATATACGAAGACCATTATATACTAACTAATAATAATAACAATAATAAAGCCCGTTTTATTTCCAATCATGGAAAAAACAAATTATAATACGCAGCTTAGATTATTTTACATTTTTATATATTTTTTTCTTTTGCTTGTTATCCTAGCTTCCTTCAGTACCGTCGATCGTCGAACCCACGGGTAAAGGCCTTCTCTAGCTTTTTCCAACTGGCTCTGTCTATGGCTCTCTTTCTCCATTCGTTTCCTGCTACCGCTTCTATTTCTTCTATCCACCTTTTTTTTGGGCGATCTCTTCTCCTTCTTCCTCTTGGTCCTTATATAGTTTTAGTACCATTATACCAAGACAATTTACTAATCATTTATTGGTTGAGGTGTGTGTGAGAATGTGTAATGTGTAACTGTGTGAGTGTGTGTTTTTATGTTATCTTAAAAATGCACTCGATTTACTTGTCTTTGAAAAGACGCCAATATTATTATATCCTACTATCCTATCCTATTATGCCCCTAAATGGCAATCTGTTAAAATAACGTAATAAATAAAACTTATATCAACATATAGTATCGGATAGCAATGTTTTGTCGAGATCCGATAAAAATCCAATTTCGCGTATGTCGCCCACTTGTAACTACAGATCGACATCGCGGACACGTGTCGACACGTTTGATCTCAAAATGTATTTGGTATAGTGTAATCGTTATATAGAATAGATAATTATGAAATTGTTATGAATAAGATGTAAAAACATTTTGAGTAATTTATAAATAGATCACACTCCGCGAGCTTCAACAAAAACAGTTACAAAAAGTCATTTATTGGTTACACGTGTTTATTAAATTGTTTTGACACGAACCCACATTTAACCGTATTTTTAATATATTCGAATGGTGGCACACCAATGGTTTTCAAGAAATTTCAATTCTTAAACACCTCGCAAACTTTCAGACAATGTATATTCGTATATCCATACTCCATAGACACAACCTCACATTATTTTCGAATAATTTTAAGCGGTCTATTACCTGCAGCTACAGCTTAATATTAAACCGTATAGCTAATTTCATGCTGTGTTAAAAGTAATAAAATAATTTTAGTGCGATATCCGCAAAGCATTTGAAAGCGTATGGCTACTTCATATGCTATCATAATAAAGTCTGAAGTCAAATCAGAGCAGCAAGAATCGCAAATGTAATCCCGAATATTAAGTTAACAGCCATTAAACGTGAGTATAATTATCATTCGGTTTAATGTTCTCAATTAATGGCTAAATAAACATTAATGGTCGCTTCGCTACCTGCGGCTCCTTCGCAAAGATTTTATCGAAGAGCTGGTCTAAGTTACAGACTTGTTATGTGAACATTATTAAAGCATTTTCAAGCTTTCGTAAAATGTATAATCACTAATATCGTACGTACGTAATTTAAAGTTATGTTCAACCTTAAAATTAAGTATATAGGTTAATCTAAGCGTAAAAGCCTCCAGCTGGTTAATGCATGTGATTTGTAATACAGTATGATTTTTAAGATAGCAATTATTTTTTTAGGATAGTATACCAAAATGATATTCAAAATCAACATAAATATCTGCATCATATACCGATATATATTTGTGTCACTAAAACCATGGCTAGTTTAACATCATTATATTTGAATGGAAAGAGGGAAAAGAAAGAGAGGTCGCCGTCTTGCATGGTGAGTTGGTGAGCTTAAAGAAGCTAGAAGAGAAGTTTGATAGAAAAATACTCAAGATAGAGAGAGATGGAGCCAGTTGGAAGAGGCCTATATTCCTATAAGAGGTCCTTACAAAACAAATTCTTCATACAATTTTAAGTATGTGTATCTTTTGTAAATATGGATGAATGTTTCAAGGAATAAATGTATTATTATTATATACGTACGCTTATAAGGCGAATTTACTGGAAAATATTTAGACTTCTGTGCCAGACACACGGTCGATTTTTTGCCTTGAAACATGCGGTGTGATTAGCACGATGTTTTCCTTCAAGCAGGTTGATATAAAGACTATATTTTCATTGAAAAATCCTGTATCGCTCAGTCATCGTTTCTTTCCGCGTTACTTCCTAACTTGCAGCTTAGTTTCGTTAAAGTTTGATGAAGTTTTAATTGAAAATTAGTCTTGGACGTATCTTGGTCTCAGTTCATTTGGCGCAGCCTGGACTAGCAAGATTTACTCTTCGCTTAATGAAACTGCTGACTAATGTCCGGAATAATTCTTAACTTTAGATAGAAGAGGATGCAACTTAGAAGCATTCCTGATTAGTGAAGAGATACATTTTGTATAGAGCGTTTTTAGGAACAATTAAATAAATATAATATTTTATATGATCGGAAATAGCGATTGTGTTATGTTAATGACCTATGTTAGGTCAATGACCTGTATTACGTCAATGAAACGTTTAAAGATTCTTTTTTAAGTCTTCAGTTTTAAGGAATGGAAAGTGTACCGTGGTGTGGCTCTTCTGGCTCCAAGTAAAAAGGCAAAAAGATAAGATAAATAAATAACTTGCAAAAAAACAGTCTCGCAAATCAGTTACACTCGCAACGGTTGTGACATCCATGTCGATTGATTCCCTACTTAAGAGATCTTCTGTTTTAAGTTATTACGTAATTAGCTAACCTAACAACATATCACTTCTTTAATGTTTTAAATAAATAGATGGTCAATGTCACAAAAAATCTTATTTAATGTAATATACTTGTGAGATACATTGTGCTTTTGATAGGACGGCCAAGTCAATCTATTTATTTAAAATATAAAAAATAAATTTAGGCGTCTACTTTTATCCACAACAAAGTTATGATCGAAAATATCCTAAGCTGTGTTGAGAAAAGGATGCGGCCATTGTTTTTTTGCTTTACTTTGCTGACTTTAAAGCAAAATAATTTTTATATTTTTTATTAAAATATGTAAAGCGTATCTACCATTTGCTGTATATTTTGCAATAAGATATCTTCTTTGTAAATACAATCAGTATTGCTTATAAAAAAGCGGACGTTAGAAAGCTACAATAATGAATAAAACCTTTTTTATACTCGTAAAAAAACACTACATATTTAAACCAATTAAAACTTAAACTTTTATATATTATGAAAGGCACACTTCCTAAAAAAATATTGACGATGTCATAAACTTCACAAATTAGCTCTGGAGTAGTTTCAAAAAAGAACTGTTGACACTTCGACCACAAATCCGCTAACACACGGAAGTCTCTTAAATTAGGAACTTTCACAACCTGAAGGGAAGTTGAGTGGGTTTTTCATATATCATTATTGTGTGTAGAATTGAACGCCTGCACTTTAAAGCAAAATATTAACATTTATTTAAAGTCCGGCAACGCAATTTCCTTCTAGCAATGTAAGTGTCTATTGACACTATCACTTAACATCGGGTGAGCCTGCCCTCGGCGTTTTTATGTAAAGTAAAATAAAAATATTACATTTGTTTGATATGCTCATTAAAGTTCTAGTGTGGCTGTGTGTTGACACGTGGTCGACTGTTGTTTTCTTACGATGATTCGCTATAGACCGGAAGATAGTGACACAAAATATTAGGTCATTTGTACCAGTCTGGCGGTTCTTCAGGGATCTTACGCAATGAAAAAAAAAAAAATGATGGTCATGGCGCTGGTGCCGGCGCGGGCGGCCCAATCGTGTGGGCGTTAGTCGAACTCGTCGGATTAATTACGAGTGTCAAACGGTTTGTTTCACAAAACTTCTAGTATTTTCCGATAGTCCATAAAAAAATAAGAGGCGGTAGTGTCATGCCATACTTCTCCGGTGTGACTTACAGTCCGACATACAGACGCGAATGCGTTAATAAAAAATTATCAAAAATCAACCATTTGTACCAGGAAAATTTTTGCACGTGCAGCGATTTACGAAAAACACCAGGCCATACTTTTCGGACGGTTCTAAATGGCCGCCAGACCGCCGAAATTCAGCAATTTTTTTGCCAAACGATTTATACCAATATTGCATTTGGATTTTTGGAAAGTATTTGATAAAAAGTGACCGTTATTATATTTGCCATATTTTTTTATTTTTTCATTGCGTAAATAGACTCCTGAAGAACCGCCATACTGGTACAAATGACCCAATATTTTGTGCCACTATCTCCCGGTCTACTACACAAGTGTAGATAGCAAATAGCAAGGTAAATACAGGGATCTAACGCATGCATGCAAAAGTCGTTAATACATAAATCCTTTCCACAGAATAGGATATTTTTACGCTCATACATTTTTCATAACATTCGACACATATCTTGATTACAGGACAGTCATAAATCAACAAGTTTAAGCTTCTGTCGTTTATTTAAAGCAGAACTGATTTGTATCTACAAAACGCAGTACGCTCGGTTTCCTTCGTTAATTTACTTAAAAAGTATATGAAACTTGAGATGTAGACTTTCAGAGCGTAACATTTTAAATGGTGGAAGCATTTTTCTTTATTTTCATTCGTTTTTAGCTTGAATTCTTAGACGTTTCGAGTTCCTGTTATCATATTAATCTAGTAGTAGATGTATAGTCCATTATTAAAACTCATTACAACTTATATATCGTCTTTTGTTTAAGAGACTACTACAAATATAAATAATACTTCTGTGACCGATATAAGGGAGAGACAGTCTCTTACTAAGACGGCTGCCAGTAATACGTCAAGGTATGTAAAATTGTAAATAAAGAAAAATTTGATAATTAAAAGGGTATAGTACTTTCTGACTGTATAGAATGGAGACACACTCTGTAAATATGTCTAATGTTTGAGTTTTTAATTATGTTATAACCATTTATCAATATATTTAAATCCATAATCATAATTAATTAGTACAGCCAACTTTGATTTTGTTTCCTTTGGAGTAGAGACTCTTGGGCCGTTGGGTTCAAAAAAAAAGAATTTAAGTTGACGCCTGGTAGATAGTACCGGTAACCCCAGAGCTGGTGCTTTCCTCGCAAATAAGTATCGCAATACAGTGAGGAAATGTTACCAGCATTAACAGCAACCAAAACTTCTTTTCATTTTCTATTTATTAATTTTTAATTATTATTATTACTTTGTTGAAAATAGATAAAAATGTTGTACGTATAGCGAAGTCACGTGTGATGTTATTTTTCTCATGAGAAAAAAGTGCGTAATTCCTCTGAAAAACTGTTTATTAAGAACCTTAAACAGCTAATAAATTGTTAGTACAGAGAAATATGGGCTTAATTAAAGAAATGCAAGTCACTTCGTTGCAAACTGAGTGCTTATTTCTTTCAACAAAGTTAGTCAAGATATAATTATGTTTTAATAACTGAACCACATGTGTACATGACCTCTGAGTTAAGTTTAATGAAGGATTTTCTCTCTGACTATGGGAAAATGTAACCACATTCAGAAGATTCTTGAACCTGTCTCCATCCCCTTCAGTCTCGCCTTAAGACATTCCACATACGTCAAAACACATACATAACGCCTAATATGTCAGTTGTCAACCTGTCATGTTGACGTAAGTGACGGGAGGGGTGCACCCAGCTTCATGCGGGAATACAAATTAAACACGTAGTATGTTTGATTTTATAGATGACTTAGCACAGAAATTGAAATGTGACCAGTAAAATTCCCTTAATTATCAAACCCGTCTAGTTACGCCGATACTTATGAGTCTCTTTATCGCAGCGTAGACACCATTTGCCAACCTTCTATTCCTATGCATCGTTCAGTTTTGGAGCAAGTGGACTCATAGGCATAAATTATATTGTTCTACAACCAGTGTACGAGCGCGCATGTCCGGTATTACGTGTTTATACTTTTGGCACCAAACTTGGAGTAAGGTAAGATACAGGCTAAAGTGGTAAGTCACGGTTGCTTAAAATGTGCATTCGCCTATCCTTGTAGCAGCGTTATGTTCGCAAAAACAAATGCAGGGAAGAAGTTACCTTCCTTAGAAGTGTAAACAAGAAACGACGAAATGAAACGGATTGTGCGAAGCCACGGACTAGACTATTAAAATAATAGTTAAATTATCGTTGAAATATATTTAAGATCGCTTTAACCACCGGAAACATGTGTACGGATATTAATTAGCCTTTAATTGCTGAACATTAATCATCTCAGGCCGATACGCTTAAAATTTACGTGTTTTTACCGCAGGTATGAAATGAGAATTCGAATTTCAAAATTCAAAAGTACCATACAATTTGATCAATAAACTTTTGTGTAATAGATAGAGATAAAAAATATAAATTATATTTAAAAGGATTTAAAAATATATATTTATATTACTGTATTGTAAAATATGTCAGTTCAATTGAAATCCAACAAAACAGAAATAAGTAAAAAATATTTGAAACTAATAACAGGGTTTACGTTATTTAAACACTAACATAGTATAACATTTATGCCTCGCTCCGTTAACAAAACTGTGTTATGCCAAGGCCAAATGTATGTATTAAAATAAGTAGGTATATGTACCGTATTAAGACAATTACGTTACAAATAATATACTTATTTCTGATTGAAATTATATGTTAGAGATTTTTATATGTGCATCTGCTTATTAGGTTACAAACTATATCAGACCTTACTAATCTAGACCTCCAAGATAAGGGAGTAATTCTCAGCCCTAGGGTGGCCCGTTTGAATCCCATCTATGTATGGATTTTTCTCGGTGCGGAAATGCATATATGTGTATAAAATTAGTAACTGCTAGGGTAGTGTTAGGTATATGAAATGTAGACTCAGAACGCTGATGAAATATAATTGGAATTTTATGTGAATAAGTCATATTTAAATATTCTGAAATTCAGTGAAACCACAATGTTAAGAAAGAAAAGAGAAATTAAAGAAAACGTTAAAAATAACATGTTGAGTGATGCTGGCAGTGATTGATCATCTTGTGGAGCGAGCTTCTATTTTAATAACCGAAGCTTACACTCAAGAATACTTTTGATAACTTTAATATAAAGGGAAAT